AGTTAGGCCAACAGTGGAGCAGAGGGATTTGTATCCTGTATTCCTTTCAATCTCATTTTTTCTTTCTTTCTTTCCTTCCTCCCAGATCTTGATCATGGTCACGGTGGCATGCAGAGGTAAGTGCTTCCTCTTTACCATGCTAGGGAGCTCATGTAGGATTGAAGGGCTCTGCATTCTTCTGAGTATGAAGAACGTTTTATGCATTTGACAGACCCACCAAAACTGACTGGATTCATACCACATACCATACTATTTCTCTCACACACCTTCACACGCACATTCCTCACCCAGCTTAGGTTGGTTAGTTGTAATGGGTGAATCTGTCCCTTGACTGCTGCTTTTCAGAATATATATCTATATCTATATCTATCATCTTTAATCTAGTTCTGCCCCTCTGCATACCAGGCTGCCTCCTTAGATCGATGAGAAGGTTAAAGTGGATTTGTAGACGTGGAAGAAACATGTCATTGGGAATGAGAGGAGCTCTAGTGTAAAACAGAGGGCAGTGGGCTAGGGGAATTTTATTTGCTTAGCATACAGATCATCTCTGTAGAAGAGTCTTCACCCCAAACCAACTGGTTTTGTCATTTTGCTTCATCATGCGCTCACATCTCCAAAAAGACAGCATTTTTTCAATCTAATATGAGCTCTGCAATTGTCATTAAATTCTCTGAAGTAGCAGCTCCCTAATGTTACACATCTCAGAAAGATATCTTTGGGTTTCCTAAAAGGTGTTTACCCTTCCCAGCTTAGTTTATACAGAGGGAAACAAAGAAGGACAAAGGATGGAACAAAAAAGGAAAAACTAAATAGTCCTACGAATTGCTCCTGCTGACAGTTCCTTATGGCAGCTGATAGCATCTTACTTACTCCTTAGATAGGCCAAACTAAGGCTGTGTTTATGAAAGAAGCTGAAGAGGGTGAGACTTAGAAGATGCATATGTACAAGACACTAAGCTTGTGTAGTATTAACTTTGGAGAGCTTTTCTGGTAATGTTGCAAGAATCCAGCCCACTGAAGTAGTTTATGGGTTCCGTGTATTTGAGAACCCAGAAAAGGATTCATTTGCTTACTGCATCAAGGGTGCTGGATTAACATGGCCCTTATAAAAGCATGTTTCAAGTGCATACTTTTCATTATAATGCGTAACTTTGAGTACCAGTGTTCGCAATCACTGGTAATATGCAAAATGCAAATCCTTGCTCTGAATTTCAGAAGCAAAGACTGGCTGTGAGTCTGTCTCGATTGGCACATCTAAGTTCCACATAGTGTGTGAAAAGGTCTTAACAGAGTGGCAAGACATTGGATATCTATGCATTGCAAGTCCACAGGCTCAGTCCGTTAGGAATTTCTTTTGTACAAACAGCCTTATTCCCTGGTGAAGTTTTGGTTAATATCAAAGAACCAGTTGCCTCTCGTCTTCCTCTGAACAATGCAGCTGCTCCTCCTATGAGACCCCTCTGTGCAAAAACAGGTTTTCTGCATCTCCCCTATCTAGGTGATTTTTTTTTTTTAATTAATGCTGTGTTCATTTCACAAACAAAATACTGCTAAAAGCTGAATCTTTGCAAGCATTTTCTCCTGGAGGCTCACCTTTAAAAACAATCACATAACATTCTAGAGGAATGTACAACCGTCTATGCTTTAAATCCTCCATTTCCAATCAGTCGCTAAACTTCCTAATGGGCTCAGCCATTAAAGCAGCCGCTTCTAAGTTAAGAAAAGTGGGAGATGGACATTTGTATTTCTGCAGACGTTGATAGTTCTTTGAGCTTGTCAGTTGCAGACACTTGGAATGTGATAAGAGGGAAGACACACCCTAGCCATCTTTCTGCCAATTTTTAAAATCCCAGCTAGTATACAATGATAGGACGTACTGCTATCGTGGCTATGCAGGTGAGAGTTGCGCAATGTAATGTTCTTCCATACATTTACGTCTTGTACGTATGACTTAACATGTTAATTTTTTATGTGTAGGATTTTTTTAAAAAAGTTTTGTCCATTTTTATCCATTCCAGAACCCTTTGCCTACCATTTGAAATCCTACAGCTCACCAAATATTAATATTATATTTGGGTTCTGTTTTTCTTTTGGAGATACAACTCCCTGTTCTTTCTTTTGGACCAGTAAGATTGTCATAGCTGAGGCCACAGACTTTGCCACCACATGCTGATGTCCCATACTGTAATATATGAGATCATCCAAGGACACCATCTTAGGGACCCCCAAAAGAAATATCTGCTCAAGAGCTAGAAAACAAGCATTTACCAAGCAGAGGTCTTCACTATGCTTCAGTGGTGGACTTCTTGCCACCACTGGACAAGCCCTTCCAGTTTGCACTCTTCCTACATCTTCAGTCAACCTTTCCAGCTCTTCCCATCTTTCCAAAAATCTAAGCTTGCCAGCTTTTTTTGTTTTTAAATTAGATTCAAATTAACTGTACTATTCTCATTGGGCACTAACAGTGCCTAACAGTCTGAGTTTCACCCATGCCACTGACCAACAGATTCATTATTTCTGAATCACCTCTGATTGAGACATCAAACCTTTCCACTGAGGGGAGCGCCTTAAAAAACAGCAAACGTGTGCTCAGATTTACATTCCAGCATCCAAGAAACTCAAGATAGCATAGATGTGAGGTTTTCTTCCCATTTAATCAATACTCTACTGCATCACAGATCTGGGAAAACAGACCTTACCACAAAGAAAGGGGAAAACAGCAGAAACACACTATTAGGAATGTAAATGTTAGTGGCTCCCTATTCAGGAGTACCTTGAAAGTATGCAATTTTTAAAGCCAAGCCCTGTCCGTCCTTAGGTTAGCTTCCATATCTCTCTGGGGAAACAGACCTTTCGGTCGTTTGTAATAATTCAAGCACTGAATTCTCCCATCCAAGCCAGCCTCCAGAAAGGGAGCCATAATTCTTAGTCTATGCTTAGAGACGTCAGTTGAAATCTAACACACTTGGTGGACACTTTGTTGGAGAAAGCGGTCCTAACACCTTGGGAGACTCAGTGCGTTCCACACGTGTTGGACATCGCCTCTCATTCTGGGGGATTCTGGGACCTGGAATGGAGTATATCTTGAATACTTGGCCAAGCTGCTCCTAAATCTTAACCACTACATTCTGTCTGCCTTCTGGTTCAGTTAAGAGGGCACTTCGACCAGAGAAAAATACTTAGAAGCAATGCCAATAAAACCTCGCAACCGTTTGAAGTGGCATGCATTTCGACAGGTGGAGGCTGATGTTGGCGGCTTTGAGCTTGCACCCTCCTCACCTTGACAGCTTCAGCATGAGTCACCTTGTCCAGTGGCTTGTCATTGACCTTCAGGATCTGGTCTCCCACCCGAAGGCCCTCTTTCTCTGCCAACGAGCCGGGCTCCACCAGGGAGACGTAGATGCCAACTCCATGCTCGGAGCCCCCTCGGATGCTGAAGCCCAAGCCTTCCTGAGCTTTCTGCCTCTTCAGGGTCACCTGCCTGACCTCTCCCCGCCGGTCCTCCGAGCCGGCGGCGGAGTCCGAGGGAGCTGTCCCGTCCAGCGCGGTGCTGAATTCTTGCCGGAGCCTCCCGCGGGCCAGGGAGGGCGGCCAGAGACGGGCAGCCGGGGCGGGAGAGGGGAAGCGGGCGGGGGCGGCAGCGCCGGGCACAGGCAGGACTCTGGAGGACCCGGCGCCATCGTATCCTGCCCCAGCGGCGGGCAAGAAGTCGGCTTTCAAGTAAAGCCCCTCCGAGGTGTACTGGTCGAAGAGGAGCTGATCCGAGCGGGGAATGACTAAACGCAGCATGGGTAACAACTGCCTCTTCTCCGGACCGTCCAGCAGGACTTGGAGCGTCTGCACTAAGTCGTAGACATTCCGCCGGCAGTGATAGACGTTCAGGCAGTGGATGAACTGCTCGCGCTCGGCTTCGGTCAGCAGCAGGTTGAGCGCCCCGTGCAGCTTCCGCACGTTGGCCGACAGCAGCCGGATGCCGGCCCCGGGCGCCCCTGCCTTGGACCCGGGCTGTCCCGCAGCCCCCTTGCCCGCGCCGTCGAAGGAGTTGGAGGGCGAGGAAGAGGCGC